GAGGACAATGTGAATTGACACCACTGAATATCAACTCATCAGCTTTGCTCCGCCGCTCTCACAGCTGGAATGTTCCAGCTTCACACCAGACAGTGGAAGATTTATTGCAAAAAATAAATCAGTTCCTGTGGCTTTCTGCACTGACTACATTATTTACGAGAATTTTGTAATTTAGGATTCTGTAATTGTCCACTCTGAATAAAGTGCGGGTCATTAACATCTGCCCAGAAGAAACGTAATCCCAAGATAAAAACCTTGGAACAACACTGTGCACTCTTCTCGAACCTGGGAAACAATTGTTCACAAAAAAATGTTACTTCCCCGCTATCACGGGGCTTTTCTTCAATCGGGTTCAATTCCTCACAGAATTCGACTCAACAGATCTCGTCACTGAGTAATTTCTTTATTTGTGTTTAGCTCATGCAAACAGAATGTCACAGTGGGAGCGAGCTGCGCCCATGACCCAGAAGTCATACCATACTCTGCAAACCGTCCTCTGCTGTTTATCATTTCACTAACAACAGGGAGAAGTATCTGCTGCTCTGCAAAGTTTACTCAACAGTTTTCAGAAACAAGACAAACACAGCCTCAACTGTTTCCTGCTGCAAGTAACTGAATCAATCTCTCAAATTGATTTCATCGTCACACGGGCCAGGTTGTAAATGCTGAAAATATATACTAGTCGAGACTGTTCGCTCTCACACGTCCCTTTTCTCTCCAGGAGCTGTCAGGATGATGGACTGTGATGCCTTTTCCCGTTCTCTGTCACTCCGGGATGGTTTGAATAGTAAGATCTATTCTCTGAGCTGAGAACAACGTGGTGAAGTTTATGCACTTCAGGTGCAGCGTGTCTGAGAGACAGGACTCCCTGCAGTAACACCCCATCCTGTTTCAGGTCGCAGCGACCTCTCTGTGACATCCAAAAAGACACAGATACAAATCCCCTTTATTGGGGAATATTCTCTCCTTCCGAGCGGCTCTGCATTTTTCGCATTGTCTCAGATGCAATAATTTGAATGAGGTTCCCAACAGAATTTTAGTTGCTGCGCATGCGCAATCTCTCTTTTGCATAGCCTTCCACACTTTCCATCCCTCCCACTGCCACCACCCCGCTTCCCCGCCCCGCAAGCCTGTGTTTGACAGAGAGCTGAAGAGCGCATTCGTGCTGTTCTCCCTTAGAACTGCCAGCCAGTGGAAGATGATTTACTGCAGCCGCCAATGGAGAGGGGCCGGTCCCGGGGGGACGAAACTGGCACAGCCTCTTGGGAGCAGGTGGTCAGAATGGGAAGAAGTTGTTATTAAAACTCAGCGCTGCTTTCACATCCCGAAGCAACGGGAAAATCCTTACTTTACAAGAAAACTCACCTGATTTAGTGTTAACAGCTCTGTGCTGTTGCTGGCTCATTGGTCCAGGGGTATGAATCCTGTTTCATGTGGATGGCGTAAATAGGAGCAGCTCTCGCTTTTGAAGCGCGGGCGATTCCGGGCGTTCAGTATCTCCAATCTTCATTAATGAGGACTGGTTTCGATGAGATCAAGATCCCTCAGTCTCTCGATGGTGAATACATCACGTGTGGAGAAGCAGGAAGCAAGTTTTAAGAACATCTGCCCGTGGTCAACAGACCACATCACGGGTGGTGAAAAGTCCCACATTAACGCAACTCTCTTTATCTTTCTATGTTCTAAAATGCCAGTTCCCTAGAAACAGTTTCTCGCTGTCTGCTTCATCCAAACACTCTCGCCATCAAATCTCCATTTAATCCTTAAAGCCTTAAACAGAACAATCCCGGCCTCTGGAATCTCTCCACAAAACTGAATTCCCTCATTCCTGGGCATGATGAAGCCGGAGGATTGCGACGAGATTTTGGAGGAAAAATCAGTTGGTAGGCGGAAACATGGAAAGGAAAACAAAAACAATAACTCAGTCTCCAGCTTTGCGAATCTTTCAAAATCTTTTGTGATCCAAGTGGAAGAAATTGATTTAATTCACCAATGGAGAGAACCCAGTCCCGGGGAAAGGACAAGCAGGACCGGCCCGGGAGCAGGGAGACAGAATGAGAGGAAAATGTTCTTGAAACTGTTTGCTGCTTCGAATTCCTGGAGCAACGCCCAAGGTACTTCGCTCTGAGCAAGTCTCAGCTGGTTCAGAGCTGGGCAAGCAAACAATGGGAGCGGCTCGTTGGTCTAGTGGCATGATTCTTCCTTAGGATATTGTACAGTGCTGGCATTTGTAAGTGAAACATGATCATACCGGACTGCAGGGAAAATGCACAGAGCCGAGCGAGCCGCGTACAAGATGATACCGTGCAACATACTTAACAGTCCCTAGGCCTGCATGGCAAAATAAGCGGCTCCGAAAAAAAAAGCCTTCGTCTCGAATGGCAAGCAGATTTAGAATCCGAGAAAGGCAGATCCCATTGCGAAATTGTTTTAAAGTCAGTGCAGGTACGACCTACATTAACATAATTCCTTTCACTTTTCTTGTCTTTCTGCTTAGCCGGCTGTATTCCGGCGAAGATTACCGCTTTGGGGCAATGATTTTTCCAATGTTGCTACTGGAAAACAAAAAAAAAGCGAAGGCAAAGGGAAAGACCTCCCACCAAATGCCGATAACCCTTTAATCAAAACAAAAGTCAATGGAAAGCTGAATGCATATTTCGAGACTCGATTGAACAACTAATGCAACGTGCCTGTGAGAAACTATGAACGGGTATGCTAGACTGCAGTGAAAATGCACAAAGCCGAGCAGGCCGTGTACCAGATGATTCCATTCAGCATAATTACAGTTACCATGAGGGGATAGTAAGAACTGCCGATGCTGGAGTCAGAGATAACACGGTGTGGAGCTCGACGAACACAGCGGGCCAGGCACTACTATTTTGCAGAATTAGTGGCTCAAAGATAATCCTTCATCTGAAAAGCTGAGTTAGCATTAGAATCCGAGAACATTGCGAGGCTGTTCGAACCTCGGTGTAGGTACAAGTTACCACTTTCCTTGTCTTTCTCCTCAGCTGTGCATTTGCCTGCAGAGCTTTCCAGACAGGACAAACAGCTGCGGAATTAAAGATAGTAGGAACTGCAGATGCTGGAGAATCCGAGACAACAAGGTGCAGGGAATTAAACCTGTCAGAGACGACTTTGAGATGCATTTGACAGAGAGGGTAAATCATGAATGAGTGTTGCAAGTGACACCAGCACATCAGGCTTCTCCTTGACTTTGAACCGGGACGCTTTCGCACCGAAAGCAAAAGCGACACGACTGCACTACAGAAAAAAGTACGGGCACGCCAAATGCACTCATAAAAAGGTTGAGCACATGTGCCCTACAAATCGGCCCATATTCAGGAGCAGGAAGGAGAGAAATTTAACAAAGCTTTCCACCGCATTGCATTGGAATTACCCTCCTTTCCACAACAAAAGTGTTATGACAGCAGCAGTTTTGACTGGCTTAACAGAATGAAAGGCTCGCTGACAACAAGGTAGGTCTGTACACGGAAATGCAGAAACCTGTCGCTGTAATAAATGGAGAACCATTGTTTCTGGGCTGTTTCAAACCGGGGACCTTGCGCGGGTGGGGTGAACATGCTAACCACGACACTACAGAAACACGGTATCAAAGTCATCTGCCCGCTGTCCTTCGAGCACCATTGAAATTTGCAGCCGTTCAACGTTTGATTTCTCTGTTTTAAATAGATCGATGCTGTCCAGCGTTATTGACATTATTAAAAGTAAAAGATACCACGTAAAATTGCCCAGGAAATGTTCACCAGGATGTTGCCAGAGTTGCAGGGTTTGGACTGTTGGGCGAGGCTGACCCGACTGGGGCAATTTTTTCCTGGAGCATCACAAGCTGAGGAACGACCTTATAGAAGTCTGTAAAATCATGAGGGATAAGGATAGGGTGAATAGTCAATGTCAATTTCCAAAAGTAGGCCCGAGCGCAAAACGAGAGGGCATATATTTAAGATGAGAGGGGAATAAATTAAAAGAGTTCTGACAGGCAAATTTTCATGCCGAATGTGGTGCGTGTATGGAGTGAACTGCCAGAGGAAATGGTGGAGGCTCGTAAAAATTACAACATTTCAAAGGCACCTGAATGCGTGTATGAATCGGTTGGGCTAAGAGGAATGAGAGCCTCCCACAGGCGAAGAGTTCGTTCACTTTTGCCAAAAATGACCATTCTCTGTGACACCTTCCCAGGTTATCAGTGAGGATTTTGGATTCAGGAAGATTCCTCACAAACCGTGTTTGCACCTCAGGTCTCGAGCGAATCCCCAAACAGACAGATCTTAACGCGCAACAGAAGCAAAAATGACAAGGCGAACGCATTTCCACACACACCGCAGCACGAATGCTTTCTGTGAAACACCTCCAGTTCTCTGGGTTATGAACTACTCACACAACCGGCATCCGGGCAATTCCAAACTAATCCGCCAAATGCGCTGGAGGTTTAGTGCAACGCCACTTACTGGAAACAGCTCAAGTCAGGAAATAAAAGAATAGAGTAAGAACGTCTCACGAAAAGTGAATGCAAGCAACCACAGTCTCGATTAGATTAGGTGTCCCTTCTGGTCAGTAATGCGGGTGTGCCTGCACCACAACGATTTCAGCGTATCAAGAAAGTGGCTCACCAGCTCCTTTCTTGAAGGAAGTGAAAGAAATTTCACATCTCAATTACTTTTCACTAAAAAAAAGGCAAATAACTGCGGGTAGGTTCAAAGCAGGATTTTGTTTCACAGCAGCAGCGAAATAACGATCTGCATTCACTTGCAGCGGAAGGGTAAGCAACGCAACTTGCCTGGAACGTGAAGCAGCAGCACAGCCTGCTTGTTCCTACTGTCATGCTGGGGGCATTCCGCATGTGTTAACCACTGCACCATGGAAACACGCCGTGGACGCTGATCTGATGAATTATTTGTGCTCTCCCACATCAAAGACTGCATTGGGCGAAACAAGTCAAGCTCAACGCAACCCATCCTTCGTAGCTCCGGTATAACAAATGGCAGTGGCGGGATTCGAACCCACGCCTCTACAGGAACTGGAACCTTAATCCAGCGCCTTAGACCGCTCGGCCACACTACCCGACAGATGCGTTGTGACATTTTCCAATGTTGCTACTGCACACAACTAAAGCGAAGGCACAGGGAAATACTTGGAGGAACGCTATCCTCCTCGTCCATTTTCTTAACTGCTCGGCAATACCCGGCTACAATATTAATTTCGCACCAGATGCCGATAGTTCTTCAATCAAAACAAATACCAACGGAAAGCTGAACGCATCTTGTGAGATTCGGTTGCGCAAAAAATGTCATGTGCCTGTGAGAAAGTATTTTCGTTTTTACCTTGATAAAGAACACATGACTGCACCACATTTCCGGGTTCACCCAGATCACTTCTGTCACACACTGAAAACTCACAATTTTTCCCCTCTTTTACCGAGAATGAAAATTTTAATGAATAAACCCACGCGGTCACAAAAGAAGATAATTTTCCTCGTCAATTGAGTAACGTTCAGGTAGACTTCACTGACGTTTTCCGTGGTATCCTCAGAGTTAGTTAATTCTGGTTCAGCTCCATTTAACATGGAGCCGCCCAGGAAGTGACCATTCTCATTCTGTGACTCTGAATATTCTTGTTGGTGCAGGATTGGAGTTGGGTTTGCCCCTCTAATAGTCTTGTCATTTATTATACAAGCCGCTGCACGTACAAACTGATCTCTGGGATTTCCAGTGAAGTGGAAACAATTTTCACTGCAAAACTGGAGACCAGTATTTTAATCAAAGCAGCAGAAGAGAAACCCTGCTTGAGGCATAGCTAAAGCTGCCGGTTTCACTGATAACGCTGGAGGGCTGTGCTTCACCTCAGAAAGCGAAGCTGTAAGAAAGAAAGACGCCCAGCATGGGGCTCGAATCGACGACCGTGAGATTAAGAGTTTTATGCTCTACCAACTGAGCGAGCCAGGCGTGACAAAAATGCTACTTATTTTCCCATTTCACACTGTGCCAAATCCCCTGCAACCTCATCTCAATGTGCCAAAGATGATCCACCTCGAAAATCACAAGTTTCCAGTTCATTCCTCTCAATCACAAATAACATCATTTACATCTTCCACTTTTCAGCTGTTACTCCTTCAGACCATTATAATCCATTTTCATTGAACATTCAAAATTCATATTTTAATGTCGGTGCCCTCATCCTTTAGCTGCCCATATGACTGTCAGTCATTCTGAGAGACGGTGAATCTGCTTCAATAAACCCAGTCATTTCTGTTACAGACTGCCTGAAATGCGTATCTGTTTGCCTAGTCTCACTCAATACTTTCAGCACTTTGTTTGTTCAGTACATCAGCAACTTCTGCAGCTTCGCATTTGGGGGCTGGATTTTCGGAGTTCAGTTAAAAAGATTCGAAGATCAAGAAGAATTTGCTGCAGCCCTTGGGAAATGTAAAATGATTTTCGCCCTTTATCACAGGAGAAGAACCGTTCATAAGGAACAGGTTTCCACTAGTTGTGTCAGTTGAGTTTTCCCAAGTGGAGCTAAGAGAAAATACCACTCACCTGGAGATTGTGTCAATGCTGCTCTGGGGTTCACTGAGCGGGATGAAATGTCCCTGTTTTTTCTTGAGCCTGTGCTCGGTGGATGGGGAAGATTGGCCCTGGTTGTAGGATCTTGCCTTCCAGGGATGGGCAGCAAGCAGCTGATTGAAGATGCAGTGGCCACGTTCTGCTGACAGCGGAGGACTGGAGAATGTGATGTCAAATCCTACTGCTTGTCCCTTTCTCACTCAGCGTGGAGCTGGGGAAGAGACAAAGATTGATGGGTTTGTTTGATTCCAATCTCTTCGTAAACTTTTATGAATTAAATGTAAGTACATAGCTGGTTTAATTGTTAGATCACAATGTTGAGAATAACTGCATTAAAACCTGTATGTCTGGGGTCTGTCTGGAAAACAGTGGAGCTGACAAAGTTTCGAAGCTATCTCCTGAAGGCACAATCCCGATTGGCAATCTTCTGTACGACCTGAAACGTGAAAGGATAGTAAAACAAAAGAGGCTGCGCTCTTGGGTAGTCTCGAAACACCAATCTTTCTCGAAATAACCGAATGCACTGACCAATTGCAAAACCGGAGCTATTAACATGAAGCTCTGCCAAAGCTCCTCATGCAGGGAGTCAGCCTCGTTGCGCAGCTGGAGGTCTCTCAGTTTTCAGCGACTATCTCCAGTTTATGTGTGATCTTACATACAGT